TCATAACTGTGAATGTGAATGGGATGAATTTACCCATAAAATGGGAGTGGACAGTGGAATGGATTAGAAACCAGAATCCAACAATATGTGGTTTACAAATGACACACTTGAAGCAGAAAGATATGTACAGAGTTAAAATAAAGGGCTGGAGCAGAAGGTAATATGCTTCAGCTGAAGTAAAAAAGGCAGGGGTAGTAATCATGATCACAGACAAAGCAAAAGCAAAAATAGACTTAATTAAAAGAGGTGATCAGGGAAATTATATTTTGCTAAAAGCTACCATAGACAATGAAGTAACATCAAAAAATTTTACAGCAAATTTCTCTGATAAAGTCTCATTTCTCAAATATATACTGAGTATAGGAGTGAGTGAAATTTATAAAAAATAAAAGCCATTTCCCAATTAATAAATGGTCAAAGGATATAAGTAAGTAGTTTTCAGAAGAAGAAATCAAAGTTATGTATGGTCATAGGGAAAAATGCTTTACATCATTAGAGCATTATTAGATTAGACAAAGGCAAATTAAAACAACCCTGAGGTACCACCTCACACCTATCAGAAATGACAAATGCTGGAAGGGACTTGGAAAAATAGGCATATTAAGGAACTACTGGTGGAGTAGTGAACTGGTACAAACATTCTGGAAAACAATTTGGAACTAGGCCCAAAGGGCTATAAAAACAGAATATCCTTTGACCCAGCAATACCACTACTATGTTTATATCCCAAAGATATCAAAGATATGTACAAAAATATGTATAGTAACTGTTTTTGTGATGGCAAAGAATTGGAAATTGAGGGGATGTCCATCAATTGGAGAATGGCTAAACAAGATGTGGTATGTGATTATGAGGGAATACTATTGTACTATAAAGAAATGATGAGGGGGATGGTTTCAGAAAAAAAAAACATGGCAAGACCTATATGAACTGTTGTAAAGTGAAGTGATAAAAAACTTGTACACAGCAATAGCAATGTTGTAACGATGATCAACCGTGAAAGACTTGGCTACTCTGATCAATACAATGATGCAAGACAAAGGAGTCATGATGAAAAAATGCCATCTGGAGAGAAAACTGATGGACCCTGCATGCAAATTGAAGTATAATTTTCTCACTTTATTTTTCTTGTTTTTTTGCAATATGCTAATATGGAAATGTGTTTTGTATGATTTCAAATGTATAACTAATATCATATTGCTTGCCTTCTCAGTGGGTGGGGGAGGGGTAGGAGAGATAGAATTTGGAACTCAAATTTTATTTAAGAAGTTAAAAATAAATAGATTATATGTCAAAAACTCTTTTAAAAAGACTGAGGAGAAATCAGACAGGTAAGAGTACCAAGAGAAATCTGCATCAAAAAAAAAAAACCAGAGCAGAAAGAGGATCCAGGAGAAGATGGTGGTCAATAAGATACAGTGAAGAGAGTTCTGGATCAGGAGCTGGAAGATGTGAGTATGAATACCCTATCTGTGACTCAAGGGCAAGACACATTCTCTCTCTGGCCTTCAGTTTCCTCACCTGTAAAACGAAGCCATGTGACTAGGTGACCTCTGAGATCCGTTTGACCTATGAATCTATAATCCTCTTGGGCCATTTGTCATCTGGTTATTTTGGTTATATCTGACTCTTTGTTTCTCTCTTTGGGGTTTTCTTGGCAGAGATGCTGGAATGATTTGTTATTTCCTTCTCCAGCTTATTTTACAGATGAAGAAAATGAGTCAACTGGGACTAAACACCTTGCCCTGGGTCACACAGCTAGCAAGGGTCTAAGGCCAGATTTGAATTCAGGAAGATGAGTCTTCCTGACTTCAGGCCCAGCACTCTATCCACTGTGCCACCTAACTTCCTGCACAGCTGTGATGCAAAGAGCTACAAAAATTATGTTACAAAATTCATGTTGTTGCACTGATGTTTTATGTGCATTTTATAATAAATCACTTAAAAATAACAGTATGAGAAACAAAAATAAATAAATAGATGGACAGACACATGGACAGATAGCTAGATAGATAGCTAGATAGATAGCTAGATAGATAGATAGATAGATAGATAGATAGATAGATAGATAGATAGATAGATAGATAGACAGATAAGAAAGTTTACTACTGGTTAGTCAGAAAGTATATTAAGGCTAAGAATTTTGATAAGTGCTGAGATACAAAGAAAGGCCAAAACAGTTTCTCCCCTTGAGAAGCTTACATTCTAATGGGGAAGACAACATAGATATAAAATGATCCTTTCACAGGAGGTAGAAGCTAACTTCAAAAGGAAGGTTTCTGCAATTAAGGGAACCTGGAGAGGTTTCCTTTAGAAGGTTGCATCTGAGTTGAGTCTTGAAGAAAACCAAAGAGTCTAAGAGGCAGAGGCAAGGGCAAAGAGTATTCCAAGCATGATGCACAGCCAAAGCAAAGTCCCAGAAGTAAAGAGATTGAGTGTGGTGTGGGAGAAAGAGAAAGCCATTATGGATGGATTGTAGAGAGTACAGAGTGGAGTAAAGTGTATAAAAACTGGAAAGGTAGGGAGAAATCAGGTTGTAAAGGATTTTAAATATCCAACAAAGGACTTTATATTTGATCCTGGAAATAATAGGTAGAGAATGATGTGGTCAGATGTCAAGAAAAGTAGGAAAATCAACTTATCAGCAAATAAAATAGAATTAAGAGGAAAAATATACAGAATGACCACAAAAATGTAAAGGAAAATTCTGAAAGGCATCAGAATCCAGATCATTGCCAAAACCAACAGAGGACTGATGATGTAAGTTTCCTCTACTTTCAAAAGAAAGGTGGTGGACTACAGACGCAGAATGAGGAATATATTGGCAGATACAGTCAATGTGTTCATTTGTTTTTCTTAACTGTATTTCTTTGTTATAAAGGAGCTTTCTATGGGAAGAAGTTATTAAGAAGTGATAGTCATGTAAAAAAAACACACCAAAAATCCTTAATAAAACATTACATTTTTTTTTTAAAAAAAGAAGCACATTGAGCCAATGTCTTCAGGACTTCTCCTGGATCACTGTTGGTTGCTCAGAACCCGTTATCTTATTACAAGCATTGTTTTCTCCTCAATCCCGTACTTTCTTCATTTTTGGACTACAGGGCAGAAAATTGGGATTCAAATTCCATCTCTGCCATTTATTAACTGTGTGACCTTGGACAGATCACTTTAATTCTCTGATCCCATTTCCTTATCTGTAAAATTGGAATAATGATACAGGACCTAATTTACAGGGTTGTTGTAAAAAAAAAACAGCTTTGTAAACAGTAGCATACTATGTCTATATAAGCAATGATGATGATATTAAAACTTATTTGCCACTTTCTTCCAAGATTTTTCCACAATTTATTTCCATCAGTTTACTTTTTTACTGTTTAGAAGAGCAGTTGTTTTACTGAAATCTCTCATTTCCAGGATATTTTTTTTAAAGCATGAAGACTCTCTTAATAAAGAAGTGTAAATTGCCTACTTATTCCTATCCCTTAATTTTCTGTCTTTAAAATATTCCTCACCTATGACAAAGGAGCACTTTCTCTACTATCATTGAGAGTACTTTTTTAAGAGCTCGTCAAAGGTTTTTGAAATTTAAATAAATTATATTCACCAGTCCCTTATAGTTTGTTTTCAAACCCTGGCACATAAATCTAATAATTTAGAGAGGTTTGACTTATTCTTATAGAAACTATTCTATAAGAAATGATGAGCAAGCAGACTTCAGAAAAACCTGGAAAGGCTTGTATGGACTGATACTGAGTGAAGAGAGTAGAACCAGGAGAACGTTGTACACAGTAACAGGCACATTGTGCAATGACTAACTTTGATAGACTTAGCTCTTCTTAGCAATGCAAGGATCTAAGACAACTCCAAAAGACTCACGATGGAAAATGATATCCACATCCAGAGAAAGAACTATGGAGTTTGAATACAGATCGAAGAATATTATTTGCTCTTTCTTTTTCTTCTGTGTCTTCTATCTTGTGGTTCCTCCTATTGATTCTAATTCTTCTTTACAAAATGACTAATGTGAAAATATGTTTAATAGGAATGTATATGTAGAGCCTATATCAGATTGCAAGCTGTCTTGGGGAGGGAGGCGGGAAAGGAGGGGGAGAAAATTTAAAACTCAAAAGCTTATGAAAGTGATTTATGGAAGTGATTGTTGAAAACTAAAAATAAATTAATTAAAAAAAGAAACTATTGCATTTCCCATAGGAAAAAAAAAGTTCCTTGACTGTTTCTCAGTGATTTCTCTACTCTGTCCCCAAACCCTCAAAACTAAGAGAAGAGATGCTTGTCTTTCTTGTATTACATGAAGGAAGGCAAAGTGGTCTATCCTTAAGTTCATACATAAAGTGACTCTGAGACACAGAGAGACAGAACTGTTACCTTTAAATTGTGGAACAATGTGACTCATATAGAAATATGTTTTACATGATTGCACATATATAACCTGTATCAAATTGCTTACTATCTTAGGGAGAAAGGAGGGGAGGATGGGAAGGAGAAAATTTGGAACTCAAAATTTTATTAAAAAATAGATGTTAAAAATTGTCTTTACATGTAACTGGAAAAAACAAAATACTATTTAAAAGAAAAAAATATTTTAAAAACTGTGGAAGTCCAGGAAGGGGTGACTGCTGAATTTGAGTCCCACTAGAGCTCTCTGATTCCCAGGCAGTGTGGTCTAATGGAAAATATGCTAGATTTCAAGTCAGAAGGCCTAGTTTTGAATCTTAGCTCTATGACCCTGGGCTAGTCATTTCCTTTTCTAAGATCCCTTCCAGCTCAGATCCTACAACATTACTTGACATTATCATTTCAGTTGTGTGAAAGCTAATGGCAAATAATTTATTAATTGATATGTTCACATTTTAATATTTGCTTTGTGGGTTTGTTTTGCCTATAGGTATACTCATTAATCTAAAGCCATCCCAGGAGCAAGGTATTAGATTTGCTCCGGATCCTCAGATTTTTCTGCCTGGGAAGAACTTCCATACCTCATCATGCAGCAGAGTCTTACTGAACTCCAGGTGGTGTCTCTCTAAAATGGAAGATCCATGAAGCTTGGCTAAGGGGGATGCTGATCTAGGAAGAAAACAATATGCCACAAATTACAGCTGTGCAAAAGTTACATCTACATTCTGTGGGAGTATTAAATGCCTAAGACATTTCCCTAAGAATGTCTGAAACGTTCTTAGTTAGTTACACTAGATAAAATGAGTAGAGCATCATAGAATCATAGAATAATTTTGGAGTTGGAAGGAGATCTCAGTGGCCATCTAATCTAATACCCTCCCCAAAAAAGATTTCCCCTGCAAAATGTCCAATAATGGTCAACCCCCCACATGAAGGGGAACCACGCAAGGCAGACCATTTCACTTACGGGTGGCTCTACTTGTTGGAAATCTTTCTTGACATTCATTTTAAATTCACAATTTTTGCAAAGAGATAAAGGTTCATTCGAAAGCAGCATGATCTAGAAAAAAGATCACTAAAACAAGAGTCAGAAAACCTGGCTTCATATTCTGGTGCTGTTACGTATTACATGAGTGACCTTGAGCATGTCAATTCATTTACTTTTATGCTTCAGTATTTTCATCTGCAAAATGGGAGAGTTGGATCAAATGGTCTCTAAGATTTCTTCCAGCTTCTTATCCTATGATCTTAATTCTTCTTGTTTCTTGTGGTTCTAAAAGAGACCAATCCTGGGAACAGTGCTTCGCATGTAGTAGTTGCACAAAAAATATTTGTTGAATCAACAACAATAAATTAAGATTCCTGGTCCCCTATTCTTTATACCTAAAGTGCAGACAATTCAGAATTGCAAGAAATCTCTCAGGTCATCTAGTCAAAGATCTTATCTTACAGATAAGAAAAGTGGGGCCCAGAGAGGTTAAATAATTTGTCCAAGGTCATCCAGGAAATAGGGATTTACTTGAGGTTCAAGTAAAAAAAAGTAAATAAATGGTTATGAAAAGCTGGGTACAATCTGTCACATTATAAATAGGACAGGGATAGAGATAGGGACTGGTAGAGGGAACTCCCAGGTGAAGAAACTCCCTCTATGAATGCAGAACACCTTCTTTGCAATTTATCGAGTTGAGTTACCTAGAGTCACCTACCTGGGGTCACGCAGCTAGTATGTGTGTGGGGCAGGACTTGAAGCCAGGTCTTCCTGGCTTTGGGACTGGCTCTCTATCCACTACCCAGTGCTGCCTCTCTCTATGGCCAGCATAGTCTACTCAAGTCTCTGTTTGATGTCTCCTCATGACTTGGTAGTGATACCTGGCTTCTCAAAGGTAGATGCCAGTGAGGCTCAAACCCTGAAAGGTTGCAACCAGAAAAAAAATCTTCAAGAACGGCAACTAAGTGGTGTAGTGAGTTTGGAGTTAGGAAGACCTGAATTTGAATCCTCCCATGGATATCTGTATGACACTGGGCAAGTCACTTAAGGACTCAGCGTCAGTGTCTGTGTCTGTAAAATAAGGTTTGGCTTGATGACCTCTAAGATCCCTTTTCGATCTGACCCTATGATCCTTTTACCCTGAGGGTATATTGCATGTCTGTGATCCAAGGATCAGTCTAGCTAAGCTTGAAAAGTGTCTACAAAATAATGATTTTTTTTTCATTTCCTGGAGATCGTCTACTAGAAGCAGCTAGATAGTGCAGAGGAAAAAGCTCTGGGCCTGGAATCAGGAAGAACTGAGTTCAAATCTGGCCTCATATATTCACTAGCTATGTGACCCTGGACAAGTCACGTAATCGCTATCTGCCTCAGTTTCCTCAACTGCAAAATGGGGATAATAAGTGCCTGGTATATGGTAGGTGGTATATAAATGTTTGTTCTCTTTCCACCTACAAAGATGTAAAATATCTGAGTCAATGTAGTGAGTAGTATCACACGTTCTTGGAATATTGAAAATAACACCTAGTTTTGAAAGATTTTACCACTCAAAAGAGATTGGGGTTAAATTCCATTAAAGTAAATATCATTACCATGAAAATATCTGAATGACAAAGTGATTTTCCAGATAGCAGTCTACCTATTGTGAGCAACATTCAACATAATCACATTTTAGGTGCAACCCAGTAGTTACGTGATCCTTTAGTCCTCGAAGTCTGTATGTTGGAGTGTTAGGAGAGAGGGGAAAAGCAGTGGGTGGGAGGGGTCCAGCCAGGTCCAGTCTAGCTCCTCCCCTCTTCCCTACCTGCCCTCCTTCCCTTTGTGACTGGTAAAAATATAAATATGAATGAGATAAGACCCTAATCCTTCCAAGAGCTAATATTCAAACTATAAGGACTCCTTAGTTAGAGAAAGGCATCTTTGCTAAAGGGCAGCAACGTTGAATATCTTAAAGAACACAACTTGAAATAAACAGTATTGGAGGGAAAAGGAGGAGTTGGTATTTCAGAGCAAAAAGGCTCTTGGCTAAGCTAGGCTTTAACAATGTGTTCCCAGAGCTAGGAAGAAGCCTCCAGATTGGTCTGCTAAGGACTGGTCAGGTGGGGGGCCTGCTTTGTAACTTAGGAAATGATTAAATGTCCCTACTCATCTATAAATGGTTTATACTTCCTGAAACTTCAATCCTTCATTCAGTCAGTCAACAAATGTGCATTGAACACCTACTGGGATCACATCCTTGTGCGAGTCACTGTGGGAAGTACAAAGAATGAGACAGGATTCCTGGATCTCATCATGGAACTGGAGTGATAAAGCACATACATAGATAACTGTGATACTGGGTATAATGTAAATGTGTAATAAGAGAAGTGGAAAATGCACTTAGCACTAGATGTTTAAAGTGATCTATCACACTGGTTCTTTGCTCTCTTTGAAGTCTGCTCCCAATAAAGGAAAAGATTCCTGGATTATAGAAGCATGACAAGGAATGCCAGAAGAAAAAAAAAGGGGGGGGGAAGACTTTCACCTAGAGATTTGGGTGTAAATCCTAGCTCTGACACTTACTATGCAAACAGTCACTTAACTTCTCTGAGCCTCAGTTTACCCATCTGTGAAATGGGAATGATAATAATAATAGCTGACATTTATACAGGGCTTCAAGGTTTGCACAGCACTCTGCATACATCATTTCATTTGATCCTCTTAATAACCCTGAGAAGCAGGGGCTAGTATTACCACCATTTTACAGATGAGGAAACTGAGGCTCAGAGATTTTAAGTGATTTGCCCAAGGTCACAACTAATGTCAGAAGTTGGATTCAAATTCATGTCTTCTCTAATTCTGATTTCAGCACTCTTTCCACTATGTCATCATGCCTTTCATAAGATTATAATCCTCTCACTACCTGTATTGCTGGGTTGTTGTAAGGAAAGAACTGTCTGAGTCATAAACAATTCTCTAAGACTGTAAGTCATAGAGAAGGTGTTGAATTGCATTGGTGGAGGGAGTTCCCTTATTGATTAATTCCCTACACCAGCGGTGGTGTCATAGGTCACAGGTCCGGTTCTTAATCATACCCCTTTGTGTTAGTATTGGAACAGTCTGGTTCAGTGTATAGACTGCTGGGCTTGCCCTCAGATCTGGGTTCAAATTCTACCCAAGGTGTGATCCTGGGCAAGTCTCAACTTCTTTGTTTCTCAGTAATTCGCTAGGACCTGTTTCTGAAATCAATTGAATCATAGGTTTAGAATTGGAAGAGACCTCTGAAGTCATCTAGTCTAAGACCCTATCTTACAGATGAGGAAAGTGAGGACCAGAGAAGTTAATAATTTGCCCAAAGTTATCCAGGAAGTAGGTATAGAAAGGCTGAGATTCAAGGAAGCAAAAGGTATAGGAAGAGCAAACTACAAGACAAGGTCAGGACCATGGAGAGCTTAGAGTGGGGCGTAAGGGCTACTTGGAAGCCAGGAGACCAAGGTGTGGGCTCCTCAAGGTCTTTATAGCTTTCCCTGAAGCTAGACTCATCCCTTCCTGTTGTTTGGAATTCTAGCATATAAGGAACCAGCAGGAGCAGCTACATGGTGCAGTGGATAATGTATGGGCCCTGGAGTTAGGACGACCTGAGTTCAAATCTGACCTCAGATGCTTGACACTTACTAGTTGTGTGACCCTGGGCAAGTCACTTAACCCTAATTGTCTCCAAAAATAATAGTAATAATAAAAAAGAACCAGCATCTCTTTTTTTTAAGAGAAGGCTTTTGTCAGGGCCAGTGCTATACAGGTTCATCTGGTGATTCTGGATCGAAATATTTAGAAAAAAAGCGAAGGCATCTGTGTACAAAGAACAATGGACCTAGAGCCAAAAAAAAAAAAAAGACTGGATTTGATTCCTAGCTCTGTCACTTATCTGTGTGACTTTGGAAGGATCATTTCTCTGGGCCTCACTTTTTTTCTTCACTCATCTCTTTTATAGTTCTACAGTTTTACAAAGCATATCCCTCATAACAGCCTTCTCAGATAGAAGGTACAAGCAGTATTGGCCCCATTTTCCAAATGAGGAAACTGAGGAGCAGAGATTATATGACTTCTCCGTCATCACATGATTAGCGTCAGAGCTGAGTTTCAACCTCCTTTTCATACCATCACACTTCTTTCTGCCTCTCAAAAATGATTGGATTTAAGTAGCTTATTTCTAAGGTCTCTTCTAGGTCTAAAATCTTACAATCTTGTGTCTTAGATTAAAGACCTTTAAGGTCCCTGTTGAGCATTTGTTGGGATCTTACAGGACTTCTTCAAGGGTCATGGTTGGTACCTCCAGATCATCCCTTTCTACTAGAGTCTCCCAACCAAGGTCCAGGACAATCATTAATTTTTATCATTTAATCATGTATTACCATGTGCTATTACTTTAAAAGTATGTGCAAAGAGTAACTATAAAATCACGACCCTGATTTTTTGGAGGGATTAGGTAATGGGGTTAAGTGACTTGTCCAGGGTCACACACCTAGTCCAGTGTTATGTGTCTGAGGTTGGATTTAAATTCAGGTCTTCCTGAGTCCAGGGCCAGTGCTCTATCCACTGCGTCACCTAGCTGCTCCTATGATGCTGATTTTTAAAAAATGAATAGACCAAAATTTATATATCCTGATGAATACAATCCCTTTCAAAGCAGTCACCACTGGCTGCCATGTGTTTATTCCAATAATGTTCCCTTCACTCAAAATCCATTTCTATAACTCTTCTTGCTTTCCAAGTTGACAGACAAAAGACAATCAGCCTCATTCTATAATAAGCATATTTGATTTTTTAAAAAGCTAAAATGGTATTTTCCAGCTCCCTTATTCACCAGAATCGGCTTTGAAAGACTTTGAACTGTTCCCAAAATTAAAATCTTTATCTATTGCTATATTTGCAAAGGAGAGCTCCAAACACGCTCTGGGAAGCAACAGAATTATTGGAATAAGCTTCGCCAGAAGGCTGTTTTGAAAGAGATGTTTCATGCTTTGAATTTCACCTATTGGATGACATCTAAAACACCTACACTTCATTTCTTCTCCATTTCTCTGCTTATTTGTTCCTTTGGTGTCAGAAAGGGTTAACTTCAAGTTGAAATCTAAATAAATTGTAAGCAGCCTAAAATAATCCGATTTTCACTGATTGACTTTCTGATTCAGTTTCTACAAATACATGTTCTAAAATATGGAGAATGATTGGAGAAAGCCTACTGTATTTGCCTGAAGAATAGTAATATCTCACAAATAATAACTTGTCATTGAGAATGAACATTCATTGAGGACGATCTAGCAGTGCTGGGTGCATATTAAAGTATGTAAATACATGAAAGAGCTATGATTTCTCCCTCCACCAGCAACTCATAGCCCACTGTGGTAGATTAGAACAGAACATTAGATCTGGAATCAGAAATCGTTATTGTTCCATTGTTTTAGTCATGTCTGACTCTCTGTGCCCCCATTTTGGGTTTTCTTGGCAGATACTAGAGTGGTTTGCCATTTCCTTCTCCAGCTCATTTTATAGATGAGGAAACTGAGGCAAACAGGGTTAAGTGACTTGACTAGGGTCATACAGCTGGTAAATGTCTGAGGCCGGATTTGAATTCAGAAAGAGGAGTCTTCCACTTCAGGCCCAGTACTCTATCCACTTCGCCACTTAGCTGCCAGCATCAGAAGACTTAGGTTCAAATCGCGGTTACACAGGCTCACAACCTAAGTATCATTCTTGACTCCACACTCTCACCATACCACACCGCCATATGCAATCAGTTGTCAAGCCCTGTTGGTTTTACCTTTGTAACATCTCTCTATGTGACCCGTTCCTTCGTCTCACACTGCCACCATCCTGGGGTAGGCCCTCATCACCTTATTCTTAGCCTACTACAATAGCCTGCTGATGAGTCTACCTATCACAAGTCCCTCCCCTCTCCAATCCACCCTCCCTTCAGCTGTCAAAATTGATCTTTCCTAACAGGTCTGACTATGTCACCCTCCTGCTGAGTAAATTCCAGTGACTCCCTATTATCTCCAGAATCAACTATAAATTCTTCTGTTTGGATTTTAGAGCCCTTCATAACCTGGTTCCTTCTTACTTTTCCAACCTTCTTACACCTTATTCCCCTCCAGGTTCTTGGCAATCCAGTGACACTGGCTTTCTTTCTGGTCCTCACATAAGTCACTTCATCTCCCTAACTCGGGCATTTCCACTGATTGGTCCCATGCCTGGAACTCCTTCCCTCTTCATCTCTGCCTCCTGGCTTCCCTGGCTTTCTTCAGCTGAAGTCTCAACTTCTGCAAGAAGACTTTCTCCATCCTCCTTAATCTTGGTGCTTTCCCTCTGAGATAATCTCCAATTTATCTTCTATATCTCTTTGTACAATATATATGTTTGTATATAATTGTTTATATGCATCTATTTTGTACATAATAGCTTGTGTGTTGTCCCTGCCATTAGACTGTGATCTCCTTGAGATCAAGAACCATTTTTTGTTTTTCTGTGTATTCTTGGTACTTAACACAGTACCTGGCACACAGTAGTTGCTTAATAAGTGCTTATTGACTGATTAATACTGATACACATCTCAATGGGGGAGAGAGCATTTGACTGAAAATGCAAAGGTCCATGATTCAGTCCTGAGCTCCAGCAGGACGTGTCAGCCTCAATCTGGCTTGCAAATTATTGTAGCAAAAAAAAAAAAAAATCGCTCACTCTCATGGATAGAAGCCCTGCTATCTGTGTGACCATGGACAAGTCATTTAACCACTTGGGGGGGATCTCAATTTCTTATCCATAAAATAGGAACAATAAGCTTTGTCCTATCTATCCCACAGAGTTACTGTGAGGATCAAATTACCCAATATATAAAGCTCAAGTCACTATAAAGTGTTATAAATGTGAGTTATTATTAAAGCAAAACCTTTTAATTCTAGCGCCTTCCTTTGGTTAATTATTTCTTATTTATCTTGCATATAGCTTGTTTTGAATATATTTATTTGCTTGTTGTCTTCCCCATTAGATTTTGAGCTCCTTGAAGGCAGGAACTGTGTTTTGCCTCTTTTTGTATCCCCAGCACTTAGCACAGTACTTGGCACATAGTAGGTGCTTAATAAGTGTTTATTGATTGAAGCAGTGTGGTACAGTGGAAAGATCACTGGTCTGGGAGTTAGGAAAGCTGGATTCTAGTCCCAGTGCTACTAAGTAGCTATGTCCTGGTAATAGGGTTACACTGAGAGGCAGCATGGTGTTGAGTTTAGTGTCCGATTTCAAACCCCAGCCATGCTACTTACTACCTGTATAACCTCAGTCCAATCCATTAACCTCTGTGGGCCTCAGTTTTCTTATCTGTAAAACAGGGGGATTGGACTAGATGACCTTTGAGATTCCTTCCATTTCTAGTATTCATTTATTGTAAGATTCTAACAGTAACAGCAATAATAATCAAAAGAAAAACTCAGGAGTTGAACAAAAAAGGATTTCTTTTTCTTTCTTTTTTTTGGCATGGAGGCTCCTTGGTTTCCTCCAGAATACATCAACATACATGAACACGGCCCTCTGTTTGCACTTACTTCATCTGATACAAATTGTTGGTGCCTCTGTGATCAATATCATGGCAGAAAGCAGCTGCAATCATAGCAAAGGCTTCCAGATCAGTATAATACTTCTTCAGCTTTCCTGTCTGTTTAAGGAAACAGAGCTGGATCAATGGAAGTAGCCTGGTAGAGTGAAAAGAACACTGAGCTAAAGAGTCCACTATAATACTTCCACTTATATGGTTGTTGTGAGGAAAGTGCTTCGTAAACCTTAAAGGACTATATAAATGTAAGTGGTTATTATTATGATCTACTTCCAGAGCCATAACTAGGACAAAGCAACTGGCGCATTGTTCCAGGATGCCAAAATTTAGAAGGTGCTAACAGTGTTTTCATTTGTTCAGTAGCACAGAAACAATAGATTCTAGACTTTGTTTAGCAAGAATAATAAGTTGAAAGAGGAAACTACCAAATGGCAATGTACAAATGAGTGTCCTGCTTCCTCCTGCCCCATTAGCCCATGATTTTCCAGATAACCTCTTTCCAGGGATTTGGAGTTTTTCTTCCCCACCTCCTCCTCAAGACACACACACACACACACACACACACACACACACACACACACACACTGAATATGTCTTTAAAAGTGGATTTGAGCATGTGTTTTGTGTTGCTTGCTTCACCTGGAGGCCACAAGTGATAGTTATAGCTGTATCTGATATACAGGGTAGTTATGAAAACTGCAAATTAGAGATTCCAAGGCTTTTTACTGTCAACAAAACTGTCATATCCTCATACATTAATCATCTCAGTGCTGTTAGAACCTAATGATTGTTGCTAATATGGAAATGTTTTGCATGACTGCACATGTATAATCTATATCAAATTGCTTACTTTCTCCAGGAGAGAATTTGGAATGCAAAATTTTTAAAAAATGAATGTTAAAAATGTTTATGTACATGTAATTGAAAAAAATAAAATAATTGACAAATTATTGAAGTATTTAAAATAAATACTTCAATTATTTTATTCTATTATTTACAACAGCATCTACATACATTTAAAAAATAATAATTCATAAGATCATAGACAGAGTAAGAAAGGACCTTAGAGGTCATTAAGCCCAACTCAGTTATTTTGCAGATGAGAAAATGGAGGCCCAGAAAGGTTGTGTCTTACCCAGGATCACATAGAGTCTGAACAGGATTTGAACCTAAGTTTTCCTGACCTCAAGTCCAGTGCTCTATGCACTACATTGGGTTGCCGTGTGAAACATACTTATGAGGAGGCAGCCCGGCGTGGTGGATAGCATGTTAGACTTGGAGACAAGAAGAACTGGGCTCACATTCCTTCTCTTATATTTATTTATTTATTAGCTTTGTAAACTTCTCTGGACTTCAGTTCCTTCTTTAGTGAAATAAAGTTAAAAAAAAAAAATGGACTAGAGAATCTTTAAGTTCCTCCCAGCCAGAAGTCTGTAATTATTGTGACTCTACTAGTGATTTCTTCTATCAAGTTTTTCTGAAGTTCTGACAGAGTCTGGAAGAAATTGGTACACCTTAAAATGCTGTAGAAATGTGAAGTGCCATAATAATAATAATTATTATTATATCATCATCATCATTATCATCACCATCATCATCACCATCACCACCACCACTATCGTCATCATCATCATCATCATCATTGTCCTTCTTTACAATTATCTACAGAGTCCCTAAACCCACCATTAGCAGGGTAAACATTGTCTGTCCCACGTTGAATCCATGCCGCCAGTTGTGATAAGTGACAGATCGGTAACCTTTTCTCACTGTGTACATCCATCTGGTGAGGACCTATGGAAAAAAAGGAAGGATGGAAGGAGAGCAGGAACGAAGGAGAGAAGGAAGGAAGGAAGGAAGGAAGGAAGGAAGGAAGGAAGGAAGGAAGGAAGGAAGGAAAGGAGGAAGGAAGGAAGGAAAGGAGGAAGGAAGGAAGGAAGGAAGAAAAGAAAAGAAAAGAAAAGAAAAGAAAAGAAAAGAAAAGAAAAGAAAAGAAGGAAGAAAGGAAGAAAAGAAGAATTTAAAAGGGGATAAAAGATCTTTCAGACATTGGAATCTAACCCCCAAAGGCTAAAAAGGTCTGGAATGGTGTAATTGACAATCTATCTTATCTAAAAAAGGTCACTTGGTCTTGTTTAGGTAGGTTTCCAGAGACATATTTGCAAAGTTAATAATAATTCTTCTAAGTCAAAACCCAAACTGAAAATTCACTATTTCTAAACACAGAAGACATTTGTTTAGAGAATTATCTGAATTGCTATTCCTAGTGATCTAGTAAATAAATATCATCTAACCTCCACAGGCACTTTGAACTTTTCCACAGCTTTTATTTCAAAAAATAACTGTATCCCACATTTAATCAATCCATGCTCGGTAATGGGGAAGTCACTGAAGTGGAATTCATAAAGTTCTACGTCCTTTGGATTGGGCAGCTCCTCTTTCTGTTAAAACAAGGATGATTTAGTCCAGATAAAATTGACCTTTCATTCCTTTTTAAACTCACAGATCTCAAACATTCACAATGTGATGGAGGGCTGGTTAATGGGAGTCCCATCCAGCTGTGCAGTGGAGAGTGGGTCCCACATTACAAATGCCTGGAAGCAGGCTGACTCAGACCCCACGAGGTGCGTGGCAGCAGGCAAAACGCTGCATGCTCGGAAGATGGAGTTCCCACTGGCCAGTCCTCTATTAAAAACAGCAAAACAAGTTGCTTAGATAAAATCTCAAGTTGTTAGCAGCCAGTGAGTGCCAGTTTTCTCTCTCTAGATTCCACCTTTTCCTATTGTTCCATTGTTAACTACAGAGTAAGCACTTCTAAATTCAATTCAATTATTTATGAAGTGCTTAGGATGGGCCAGGCACTGAGCTGCTATGGAGAGAGATTAAGACAAAGGATACAAAAGAACAGTCTCATCTTGTAGGAAAGGAGTTCTTAATCTGGTGTGTGAGAAACTAATTTTAAACACCCACCCACCCACCCACACACACACACACACACACACACATTATAACAGCATTTTAATGTAATTGGTTTCTTTTGTAATCTTATGAAGTTTACTTTATGAATTTAAAAACCTTTTTTCTGGAAAGGTGTTCATAGGCTTTATCAGATTGTCACAGGGGTCCATGACACAAAAGAGCTGAGAAACTCCAGTTCTAGGAACTCATATTCTACTGGGTGAAAACGACTGGTACTCAAAAAAGTAAACACAACATATTTACAAAGTAAGCAGGAAGTAATTCAAAGGGGGAAAAGCTAACATTTGGGGATATCAATGAAAAATCTTAGGTACTTGAACTGATCCTTGAAAAGAGTTAGGGACAACAAAAAAGTGCCTACTATGTGAAGAGTACAATACTAGGCACTAGAGGGAAGAGAAGGGATACATTGATATCTCTAATAGATACTTGGGAGGATTTGTGATCTCAGATATGGCTGTTCTTTCTAGAAATGAAGACCATAACTTATATACAACTGGAACTCCTATCTCTTGTAGTCGTGTCTCACTCTTCATGACCCCGTGGACCCGGGGTGGGGAACCTGTGGCCTGGAGGTCACATGTGGCCCTCTGGGTCTTCAAGTGTGGCTCTTTGACTGAATCCAAACTTCACAGAATAAATCCTTTTATTAAAGGAATTTGTAAAAATGGTCTATGGGACCACATGCCATGGACCATAGCATGACAGGCCTTTCTATCCTCCACTTCTCTCAAAGACTTTCCAAGTTCATGTTTGTTGTTTCCATGATACTATCTATCTCTCTCATCCTCTGCCATCCCCTTTTCCTTTTGCCTTCAATCGTTCCCAACATCAGGGTCTTTTCCAATGAGTCCTGTCTTCTCATTATGTGGCCAAAGTATTTAAGCTTCAGTTTTAGTATTTGACCTCCCAGTAAATAGCTTGAATTAATTTCTTTAATTATTGACTGATGTGACCTCCTTGCTGTCCAAGGGATTCTCAAAAGTCTTCCCCAGCACCACAATTTGGAAGTTTCAGCTTTCCTTATGGTCCGACTCTCATAGCCACATCTTGCTACTTGAGAATGCGTAGCTCTTGTCTCCCCATAAATCCTCCATAGGAGGTCTTCCCATAAGTGGTGGATACCACCGGAGGATGTGGGGTGTTCATGGAGTATCCTTCATTCTTGCTAAGTGACTAGTCTCTTTTTTTCAGTCATACACTTCCCTGATGATAATCTGTAAGTGACTTGTCTTGTGCAAATTTTTCATTTATAATGTGTTGCTGATGACTAATGCTTATGTACCTTTTAAAGTTCAGTATATTTTCCACTAAGTACTTGAGAGACATATTAGCAAAGCCAGATGAGGAAATTATTAGGTAAGTGGAGAAATAAGCTGGAGATTTTCAGACAGGAATTACATGTGAAAAAAGCCAGAACAGAGGAAGGAGGCACTGGGATAAGAAAAGGGACACTGTGGCTAAGGTTACTATAAGTCTTAGCCTTTTCTCTAGATAGATAGGTAGATAGATAGATATAGACAGGCATTTATTTATGTAATTTATATATAATTAAAATAACCATGTCTTTGACCAAAAGGGCAACATGGACTAAATAGATAGAGGACTACTGGTCTGGGAGTTAAGAAGAGCTAGATTGAAGTCCTACTTTATGACACGTACTAACTAGCTCTGTGAGCATGGGAAAAATGGCTCAACTACTCAGTGTCCCCAGCCAACTAATCGAAGTTATTTAGTTATCGACGAGTTTCTGATCTGCATTAGAAAAGAGAATTTCTATACCAGGAAGTTCCCTACATGAAAGAAAAAAATATAGTTTCAGATTAAAAAAAAACAACAACTCCTAACTAAAATTGGAATAGGGCTGTGGGACTTGGGGTGAGGACCAAGGCTGCAGGGTACTGTTAGAAAAGACAGAGAAAGAAAATTTCCTCAGAATATGATAGAAATTCCAGCCCATAGTATTCCCTTAGCCTCACGTATACCATCAGTGTCGAGGGACCAGGCTTCAAGACTCCAAACTTGAGAGTAAATGGCAGAGTTCTATGAATCTTCCTATGTTACTGACTACCTGTGAAGCTTTGGGCAAGTCACTTAACTTCCTCTCTTGGCCTCAAATTCTGTATATTAAAACAAGGAGAATGAATTAAATGGACTCTAAACTCCCTTACAGATTTAAATTTACTACTGAGTTTGAATTCCAGGTCAGGAGAATATGTTCCGGACCCCTTGTCCTGAAAAGACTGGTATTAATTGCCATGGACAAATCTCTGCTCTTATTCAGTGGGTCAGAAGTGGCTAAATACCTGAGATTGGGAAAGGAAGAGTGTCTTCTTTCAGGTGCCATTAACCTATTAGGCAAGCAGATCTCATGTTCTTTGCCTCATCTGGAAAGCTATATGGTTGAGATGTTACTTTTCTGAGGTCACAAAATCCAGGGAGGAAATTGAGATAATAGTTCAGAGCTTTCAGGGTTTTGTTGAGTTGATTAGATTTCCAAACCCAGCCTGATAACATGGATTAGGAGTCATGTGTCAACAGACAAAAAGTGTACTTGTTACATAACTTTAATGAGAAATGCTTTAAATGGTTGGACGTGGCAGTGTATTCCTTCCTGAAAGGAAAACCTTAGATGCATCATTTGCTGGTTTTCCTCACTGCAGGATAATGTGAAAGAAATCAGCTGGGCTAAACTAGTTTCCCAAATGTGGCTGGGCCTTAGGAGTTAATCAGTTAGAAGTCATAACATGGAGGCTTTTATCAGCATGTAGAAGATTGACCAGATTAGACAGGGCAGGGCTTGGTAATCCCATTCTTAATTCTCAGGGGGACAGAGCAAACATGTTCAAGGAGAGCCTCCGCTGGAATGACTCCTTAGGAACACAGCTTGGGACACAATGGGGGTGGGGAAGGACTGAGCTGGAGAATGTTTTTATATTGGGTAAGAATCATGCAGGGATCATTCTCCAATTCCCCTGTGCTAAGGGGGTGAACTGATTGTCAAATTTTCACTGTGAGTATTTGCACCGCAGAAATCATCAGACACTATAAGTCCAGGCTTGGTTTATTATTTTGTTGATTGCTAGCCATAAGAAAGCGAAGAAGAAAATGCTAATAATGAAATTAAACTTCAAAGTGTGTCTTGTACACATTTCCCTCACCCTCAGCAATGAAGACTGTTGGGAGCTTTAACTCTTGGAGTGAGTGGGAGGTGCTGGAGAATTAGGGAAAGGTAGGTAGGCCTTTCTCTCTGTTCAAGAGGTTGTGGCCTAACCTGCCACATGCTAAGACACATGTATTTGTCATGCTCTTAGCAGGCCTATTTGCCACGTGACATGTGATGGGGTAAGTGTTGGTAGAACTGTAGAAATTTTTGAGTATATGTTCGGAGAATATGCATCAATAGGTACAAAATGGGGTTTTCACCTTCATTTTGTTTTCACTTGGGCCTCTTTTTCTACGAAAAGTGATTTGGAGTCGTTGGCTTACATTATTCCAAACATTATTCCAAATGTTAATGAAAAGTTGATTGTTTGGGACTTTGAGCATATTTCTTATATAAACAATAATTTGGTTCTTGAGCTTTCCTATAAAACTTTGTCTTACTTATAATATATAATATAAAATAAATACAAATTAACTACAGTACTGTCTAGTGTCATAGAATCTAACTAGTAAGAACTGTGGCCGTTCTGAAGAGATCAGCCAAGCCATCCATGAAGGAAAAGCCAAGTAGAAAAATAATGCATATTATCCAGTTTATGACAAGTAGTTGGATGGGCAGTCCATTGAATTTGTCCATCAGATTTTGGACAGACAGAGAATGTGGACAACAACCTAGGCCCAGAACTGAATAGGAGTGGAGTTAGATTGCATTTGGGAAATTTTGCACAGAGTGTTTCCCGTGATTCCAAACTAGACCCTGACACAAAAGTTGACCTTATAACACCAATATTCCCTCAGGCATCCTCCAATGCTCCATTGTGGTGTGCAGGTAACCACATTTTTTTTTTTAAAGCTAGGCAATGGGGTTAAGTGACTTGCCCAGGGTCACACAGCTAGTAAGGGTTATGTGTCTGAGGCCGGTTGTGAACTCAGGTACTCCTAAATCCAGGGCCAGTGCTCTATCCACTGTGCCACCTAGCTGCGCCCACATTTTCTCAAAGGCCCTTCCAGCAAGTCACAAACTGAGGCTAGATCTATTTTGCTAAAAAGGCTTTAAGTACGGTCGTGCTAAAATAAGGCTAGAAGTGAACATGGCTCTCCATGGGAGATGATATTTCCTCAAACGGAAGTTCCCAGGAGAAACTCACCATTTGGAACAGGAAAGCAGGTATTTATATTCCCAACACTTAGCAGAGTGTCTGGCACATTGTAAATGCTTAACAAATGCTTTGTCTAATCTAATCTACTTGCTCTTTGGTGATATTCTATCTTCTGTCTCCCATGCCAGGCATGCACTTCTTTACCTCCACTCTGTAGAGGCTCTAAATTCCTTCAAAAATCAGTTCAAGGCCATCTCTTTTAAGTTGGCTGTTACGAGTTGACCCTTCCTCCAAAGACAATATTTGTATATACTTTGTGTTTGCTTGTTTTTTTTACACAGTTGCTCCACCAATAGAATGTAAGCTCCTTGAAAGCGAGGACTAAACATTTCTGTATTTATTTGTATTTCCAGCTCTTTGCATGATGCCTCATAGTAGACACTAAAATGATCATTGAATGAATAAATGAATGAATGACTGAAAGAGTTAGTAACTGAGTGAGTGAATCCCGAGTAAAACAAATAGAGTAGTGTAAACTATATCAATATATTCCTAAAATGCATGTGGGCAGCTAAGTGGCTCAGTGGATAGAGTGCTGAGCTTGGAATCAGGATGACTTGAGTTCAAATCTGGCCTTAGACACTTACTAGCTGTGTGACCCTGGGCAAGTCACTCAACCATGTTGTCTCAGTTTCCTCATGTGTAGAGGGAAATGGTAAACCATTCCAGTATCTTTGCCAAGAAAACTGCAAATGGGGTCATGAAGAGTCAGACATGACTGAACAACAAAACTGCATGTAGTTTGAACACTCAGAAGTCCTTACTCTATAGAATACTTTCTATGCACTAATATATGTGCTAGGCAGTGTGGATAAAATAAAAGATGGGTTGGGACCTACATGTTCAGTCTTTGATTAATATGGGTAATCTTTCCCCACATTTTGCCCAGGGTGCTAGCAGAATTGGTCTAGGAAACTTCTTAAGCAATAGGAGGTATTTCTCTTAACATACATAGCAGCCCTTTTGTGTCATGAGGTCACTAAACATAATATGAGAGTACTTACCAAAATCTGGATGAGTTGTTTCTCTTCACAGTCTTCAATAATGTTTGTATTCAATTTCTCTTTGTATTTCTAAAATGTAAAACCATTGAAATAGTAAATTTCTCTGAAGCAGAAATTAACCCCTACTGAATTCTTCTAATACTGTTAATAGCAAAAATGTTGGTGGGTTTTTAAGAGGGGCCTGGCTTTCCGAGTTTCTGGGACATGGAGTTTTAAAGAGAAAGAACTATCATCTTTTTACCCTGGAAGAAATTTGAGGACTCAGTCCATTGGAAAATGTTTCCCTTTGTTATCTTATAATATCATAGGGCAAGCTATACTCGGTGGAACTGAAGTCAATTGTATAGGGGTGTAATTTTAAGTATTTCTTCATCCTCCTGAGGTGGCTATTTTTACCCACATTGTTTCAGAATATTCATCTTTCCCTCTTTTCTCCCGACCATCATTCACACTTTCCCATCATTTGCAGAGAGCAACTATTTGATAATATCTTCCTGCTGACATCTAAAGCAGTAATTTTCAAGATATGATCTATGGACAATTAATGTTCCCCTAGAGTCTTCCAGTTATTGTCTGAGCTGGTTCCTCGCAAGAAGAATATTTCTTTTCTGGAGCTGCATCATAAAGTCACCCTCATGGAACCATGCTATGAAATTGTCATATGTTTATCTTATGTTATCTTTCAGACGGCCTTTCTATAAGTAAGAGGGAGAGGTAAGGAGAGATAAGGAAGTAAGAAGTAAGAGGGAGAAGATCTGGGCTCTTGCCCCATAAGATTTTAGAGCTAAAAGGTACCTTAGAGATTCTCTTAATCTAACCCATTCGTTTTACTTCTGAGAGAGTGGAAGGGACTCACATGGCAAGCAAGTAGCAAAACTAAGACTTCTGTGTTTCCTAACATGTAGCTGAATGCTCTTTCTATTAACAATACTGCCATTTGGTTATTGGCTATGCGATCTTAGACAGGTCTCTTGACCTCTCTATTTCCTGGTTGCCCTATTTGTAAAATGGAAATGATAATAATAATACTTGCTCTATCTACTAGGGTTATTGTGAGGATCATGAAAAGTAATATATGTGAAAGCATTTTGAAAAGTATAAATTGCTACATATAAATATAGGGGTTTTTTGTCCTATTCTTTTATAATTAATGTGCAATGGATTGTTGCACAGGATTTGTATAGCCAAATAAAATATTTCCTTATTTTATTCTTACTCTTATTCTTATCATTATTTTCTAAGGTATTCACTTTTCAGTATGACCATTGTCCAATAAAATTGCATAATTTATAAACTTTTTCTACCTCAAAGATATGTTTCTCAACTAAAGAATTTCATTTGCAGATTTGTTTTACTTAAAGGGTGATTTTTCCTTTATTTATTCATTTAATATTTACTTAAACAGTGTTTTTACATACCTTTAATTAAAGCCCTATATTGATGCCTCATAATAACATAAATATAACTTTGTGTTCTTACAGACTATGCTAGTGATTCAAAAATTCTCATGAGTATGGGAAAAGCTTAAATTATGGTGCTAGTAAGATCTTTGTCTCTGAAAAGTGAGGACCAACCTATGAAATTTTGTAAAAATTCGTCAAGAATTTGGCTTCCCAGTGATGATGATGATGATGACGATTTTGATTTTTTTTGCAAAAGTAACTCGAAACACACCTAAATTACTGTGTTCAGTTTTGGGTACCACAGTATAAGAATATAAATAGGTTGTTAATCATATAAAATACGAAAATATAGTATTACTATTTTAGCTGCAAATAGCTACCTTAAAAGTTATTTAATTATCCTGTTTACTAAAGCTCCTATTTCTTAATCAGATTATTTTACAGCACATGACAGCACATGGGGAAAAAAAGCTGCAAAGTCTTCATTATGAAGATAAACAAATACAAAGTTAAGACTCTTGGATTGATCTCCAATACTGTTGTTGAAAGGTCAGTGCTCAAATAACAGAGAAATGCAAGCTATTTGGCTTAATCGTTTTCCTTAGTAACCATTGCTGGAGCTACATTCACCTTCTCTAGAGTAAACCAATGGATGTTTGCCCACAAGTGCAAGATTATTCCATGGTAGATTTCATTTACTTTGCATTTCATACCAGCATGGTATTATGGAAAGATCCCTAACCTGGGAGTTAGGAGGCATGGGCTTTAGTCTTTGCCCTGGCACTGACTACTTTTGTGACCTTAGGCTTTTGGGGGGCCTCAGTTTCTTAATAAAATGAGGATTACTCCCAAGGTTCTATGAATGGCAAGTTTCCAGTATAATGTGACAGTGTCTGCAGCACACATCCCCCAACCCCCTTCATGGATATTTCTTCCTTTTATCGATTTTCTTTTCTTCTGTTGAAAATAGCCACTGATTTGCCTGTCCTGAAATCAGAAAGGCTCATCTTCATGAGTTCAAATCTGGCTTCAGGTATTTACTAGCTATGTGATCCTGGGTAAGTCACTTAACCCTGTTTACCTCAGTCTTCTCGTCTGTAAAAATGAACAGGAGAAGGAAATGGTAAACCACTCCAGTATCTTTGCCAAGAAAACCCTAAATGGGGTCATGAAGAGTCTGGTACAACTGAATAATAACAACAACAATTTCTGGCATTAGCAAGTTAAAGGAGTTGGAATCTGCTCATCATGGATTTACAAATGGCAATGCTATACAAAAAAAAAGTTGAGCTCAGCTTATATAGGTTTTGATTACATTAGATAGATCCATAGGAGATGATGATTCAGGTGTTAATACATCAAAGATATGTGATTTTGTGTATAGAACCAGAGCGTATTCTATCTATGACAATCCTTTAAGAGAAAATAAATTCGTTGAGAGTAGTGGTTGATTTCCCCACCACCTGAGCACTGTACTTATCATATAATGTATAATCACGTGTCATGCCTATCGTAGCCCTTAATAGATTGTTGATTGATCAGTCTCTTGATTGATCAGTCTCAGAGTGGGCTTAGAAAGATTAAATGATTTGCCCATGATCACAGAAGGCAGAATTTGAACCCAGATCTTTTGTAAGTCTGATATCCTATTCATTATTCCACACTGCTTCTCATTCACAGATTTAGATCGGCTTACAGATGAGGTCCAGAGATGTTAAGTCGCTAGCTGAAAGTCGAATATTTAAAATAATTATTTTTTAGCCCAGCCATTATATATGCAAATATTTTCTAGACAATTAAAAAATTCATACTATTTTAAATTGTGAGTAGGGTGGCTATTCCAAGCAGTCATGTTTTCATGCTCGCTATGGTGTTTTAACGATTGGTGTTTATGTGGAAAGCATGATGACTTGCTATTTTGGAGTCAGAAATCTGGGTTTGAGTCACATCTTTGTGACCTGGAGTTAGTCATCTCTTTCTCTGGCTTCAGTCCCTCTCTGTAGAATGAGAAGGTTGAACTACATATAAGGTCCTTTCCAGTTCCAACACTCTCTTTCTTCCTCTGATCCAGGAACTAGAAGGAGTAAAGGGTTAGGGGTGATCGGGGCATGGAAGATCCTTCCTTCTTCTATGAAACACCATTCTTTTTACTCGCCGATGAACTTCGACGGGTCTGGGCATTGCTTTGTTTAATCTCCAACTCCTGAAGCCTGAGAATATAACATTTCACTGTGTTTAATAAAATTCCATTGTAGAAATTCTGGATGGCCTGATGAATTTATCACATAGGGATTTTTATCTACGGTAAATCTCATCTTCATCCCCTTCATGGCCTCTCAGTAGGAGAAACATCACAACCCATGATAGGCATGTTGCTTCCCACTCCAGCATGCGTTTAACACACTCCAATTCTAGGTAACTTGGGGGAATTCCAGGGAAAACAGTTAAGTAGTTAGCTGTCTGGAAAGCTAAATTATACACTTACCAAAATAGACTCAATTTCACCAGTAGTAGCTTTGGTCTGGTACATGAGCATTTCATAAGCGATGTCCCTTCTGTTTTCCAGTTTATTCATTTTCTCATAGGTGTCAGTATTTAAAAGAGACCAACCAAGAAACTGTGTGAGAATCTGAAATAAAAGAAAACCATCTGCTTCTTGAAGGTACCCAGAAACAGGGATTTGGGTATGAAAAACATCTTGGCCCCCTATCAGTCAATGTCCTCATTCCCAGCCATTTGGTTTCTTGTTTTGATCAAGCAAGAACAATACTCATAATCATAACCGTAAATAGGGTTAGCTTTGATTGTAGATTAGGGGCATTTGGGTGGCACACTGGATAGAGCACCAGGCCTGGAGACAGGAAGATCTAAATTCAAATCCAGCCTTAGACATTTACTAGCTGTGTGACCCTGGGCAAGTCATTTAACCTCTGTCTCAGTCTCTTCATCTCTGAGGGCGGGGGGGAATAATAATAGAACCTACTTCTCAAGGTTGTTGTAAGGATGGAATGAGATAATATTTGTAAAACATGTAGCAGATTTTAATATAAATGCTCACTATTATTATTCAATGGAATCTAGGACTGTAAATTCAGGAATGGCATACTTCTTTTCCATCTACTGGTTGCTGCCTGAAGTCCCACCACTGACACAGAGCAACAGTCACCTTTATTTTTAAGGTTTTGATCTCTGTTAGACTGAAAATACTCCTAGAAGGAGAGATTTAAGTAATATAATCCTAAATGAATTAAGACTCTGAGAACAAGTTTTGTTAGGGGAGATTCAAGATACATACGAAGACTTGGAAAGTTGGAGAGGGTACCACTGGACTTGGCAAAGTGAAAAGGGGAGGGGAAAGTGGGGAAAGGGTCATTGACCACAAACCTGGCCTGTTTTACAAACAATTAAGAATGTGAATGTGAGCCATCATTATAATTACCTATTACTTTGCCTAAGACTGCCCCCAACAGTAATATCATAATATATTGAATGTGAAAGCTACATCCACTCTTCTGAAAGGTAATTTACTTTACAAGTCAGCTTTTAGTAACATGATTTGGAATATGAGATATAGATTCAATTCAATTGAACAAATATTTATTAAGGGTCCACTATATGCAAAGTGCTGTGTTAGGTGCATGCAAATAAAATAACCTTCAAGAAGGTTACATTCTACTGGTGGGATAATTGTTAAATGCCTATGTACTAGGAGAATTTTATTAGAGGCGTTGACAATGTCTGTCACCAGTGAGGTGAAACAGAGCCTGAGACGTCAGCAAGAAAAGAAGGGTGAAAAAGGGAGGGGGGAGCACCAAAGGGTTATGGGATCATGTATCTAAAGCTGATAAGAACCTTAGGGGTCTTCCAGTACAACCCGGTAATTGAGCAGATGAGGAACCTGAAAGATTTACAGAGGTGATGTGATTTGTGCTAGGTCACACAGTTCTCTTAAAAATGAGAAACTGAGAGCTGGGAAATAGAATGATTATGGGACCACTGGTGGGAGAATGAAATAAGAAAGCACAGAATGAGTTGTGTGTGGCGGCCAGTAGTTAAGTTACCTACCTCAGAGCAGGAGGTAAAACTCTCTTCTCCATTACCCAATTTGGGGAAAATTTGGGGAAACATCCTGGCAAGCCCACATTTTAAATTCTGACTACAAAATGTACCGGATACAGAAGTAACAATTTGGGGAGGTGGTTATTTTGAGCATTTGTGAATCACTCCATAATGGAGCTTTCAAAGGAAATCTGAGCACACCAAAGCAGTAATTAGGCACTTATCCTATGTTAGTTCATGAAACTCACCTCAGTGATTTGCTCATCGTATTCATCAAAGGGCTTTGCGTCTTTTCGGTTGTAGAACGTCACGACTCCCACGATGTCTTCCTTCTTGTTGACTATGGGTAGGGAGAGGACATTTTGAATGATCCAGCCAGTTTCATCAACAGGTCCTTTCTATAAAGGATAAAAGCTATGGTCATTTATTGACAGGCAGGGTGGAGAAGGGTTCAGGCGTGCTGGGGGACAGCTGCCACCCATCCTGCAGGGCCTTAAAGTGATGTTTCAAGGGAGACCAGGTCATTTCTTTGAATACGAAGCTGTCCCCATGGGCAGACTCTATCAGACACCAGGAATGGTATGCCCAATGCTTCCAGGACAGCAGTCATGCCAACCCTGTTCATATAATTGGGTGTCACAGTACTCAGATGAGGCATTGCCATCCCAGGGAGAATGAACCTGACAGATACGGGGCTAGCCCTGCCCAAAAATACCCGACCAGAGTGACAGTCAGAAGTTCCAGCTTTGCTACTAATTGTACAGCCTTGAGCAAGTCACTTTATCTCTGTACCTCAGTTTCCTCATATGTAAAATGAGGAAACTAGATTAGCTGATACAACTATCTGGTGCTGTAGATAGAATGTTAGACTTGGAGTCAGGAAGAGCTGAGTTCAAATCTTGCCTCAGGCACTTACTGGTTGTGTGAACTTAGACAAGTCATAATTTCTCGGTGCCTCAGTTTTTGCATTTATAAAATGAGGATAATAACCCGCTTCACAGGATGGTTTCGAGGATCAAATGAGACAGTATATGTAAAGTGCTTTGTTATTGCTAGCTGCTATGGTGATGATCTCTAAGACGCCTTCTAGCTTTGAAAAGAAATGATTCTGTGATTCTCTCCTAAAGTGGAAACTAAGAAGAGGAGGGCAACCCAGGGTGAGGGATATGAGTGGGATTTCTCCAGTGACACCTTAGTCCTCTCGCCCCAGGTTCTGATTCTTGATTCTTCCCTGGTCCTCAGAGGTCTTTCTTTTGCACCTCTCTCATTCACTTTTAATGAGTACCGTGTAATATTATCATGTAATATTGTGCATCATAGTTATACCTACTGAGCTAATGTCCCTTTATGAGACTGTCAATCCACGAGGGCAAGGACTATGTTTTACCTAAATTTCAGATCTTCCGCAATATCTGGCATACTGCTTTGTGCCAGGTAAGTATTTAATAAATATCTATTGAATGATTTGATAAATTCTCTTTAGAGAATGCAAATGCATTTAGGAAATCTGATCCTTTCTCCCTCCTTTGCCTTCTCTTAGCTCCAATAGAAATGATCCAATTGACCAGTCCTGTGCATGACTATGGCCCCAGACAGGCTTTGGTTGTAAGGAAGAAGCTACAACCATTCCCTCCATCTGGTGTTTTCATGCTTTCCACATGAATAAGCAAGTAGATTAGCAGGTGGATCAGTTAGTTGCTTTTCCTGGGACTGAACAAGCATGAATGCATGCACATGGGATTATATACTCATGTATGGTTCATCGATTGGCCTGGCCACAGAAGGTTTGGTTTTGTTGTTAAGACAGCAATGCATGTTCAACAACTCAACAAACATTTATTAAGACCTTACTATGTACAAGGCACTGTGCTAGGCAATGGGGAAACAAAGAAAAAAAATGAAACAGTATTTGCCCTCAAGAAGCTTCCATTCTATTGGGTGATACAGAATATGCAAATAAGCAAATACAAAATAATTAAAGGAGGGAGAGAGGGAGGGAGAAAGCACTAAAAACTGGGGAGAACAGAAAAGGCTTGTGGAGGATGAGTACCAGAACTGAAGTGGGAAGAAGACGAAGATTCAGAGAGGCAGTGATGAGGTTGAGGGAATTCTGGGCATGGGGTAGGATACCTTGTGTGAACTGCATGGGAGGGAGGGAGATGCCCATCACAGACAAGGACAGCTTTGAAAGGTGTATGTCTCTATATATTAGAGGTTATATTTTATGTTATATGTCTATGTATTATAGGTTATATTTTATAAGTTATATGTCTGTACATTATAGGTCATGCCTGTATTTATGTAATTTAAGTTATATGTCTCTATGTTATATGTTTATATAAGTTATATGTCTCTATATAAGTTATGTAAGTTATATCTATATGTTATGTTGTTGTTGTTCATCCTTCATATCATGAGGGTATGTTTTGACTTGCAAATTAATTAGATTTAAGTGAGGCAGAGCTGTGTAAAGTCATCAACTTCACTCCATCTTCCAGGGTCATTGGAGTCCAATGGCAAGATGTAAGTTAGGATGACCAGCCCTGGATGCAGTGGGAGACCTTAGCCTTTTTATATTTTGGCCTTTATAATTATAAGCTATATGACTATATATTACGTTATATGTCTCTTTATATTATAAGTCTCTTTATATTATACATAAGTCTATGTACTTAAGTATATATATTATAGGCTTAAAAAGAAAAGCAAGCTGTACATAAAAATTTGTAATTTCATATATATTCCTCTTTTCCTGTTCTACTCTGTATGGAAATCCTTATTTTATTTGTTGTTTGTTAAATTCAGAATAGAAAATAATGCATATATATTATATTATGTATTATATTGTGTTATATTATGTTGTGTTTTATATTATATATATTATATATTAATTGCAAGGAGGAAAGAGATAGAATCTTAAGTCCAGAAAACAACTCATCATCCAGCTTGGTTGTGGCATAAAGGAAAAATAATAATATGAAATTAGATGGGAAAGGTAGGTTATGGAAGATGTTATATTCCAGACTGAGAAGATTGTGTTTTATCCTAGAGGCAATAGGGAAACACTAGAGATATTTGAGCACAGGAGTGACATAGTCAAACTTTTGCCATAGGAAGATTATTTTATCCAGGTGCACTGTGTTCTTGCCAAGTACAGACATAGACTGAGTGTGTATGTCTGTGAGTTCATATGTGTATGTAAATTAGGCTTCCTGGATGTCCTAGACTGGCAGGAAAGTCCCAAGTTTCAGCTTGCTGCCCCTGGGAACTGTTAGTCCCTGATTCTATCTGGGAACAGATTTTCCAGCTCTAGTCAGAAGCTTGTTAAACGTAAGAGAATAAGTCCCAGATAGAACAAGAAACCTCCCAACATCAATGCCAATTTACCTCTGATAGATCCATGAAGTCAGCCCCTGACGGCAGATGAGGAAGAAAAGAGGCATATGGGCTGAGAGATTTCACAAGATCCATGACTGAGGTGTGTGGTGTTGTCTGTTGTGAGGTTAGAGTGGGTTCCCAAGGCCAAGTCCATCCATGGGAATGATGGTAGAAAAAATAGGGGAAGATGGGGAAGGAGGTACTGTAAGAATTAGCATTCTAAGACTGCCCTGGATGTAGTGAGACCCCAGATGGAAGAATTATTCTAAGGAAGGCAAGATGATGAGGGCATAGCATCGGGCAGTGGAAGCCATGTTTTGGAGTGTGGGGTGAGGCATTTGACAGCAGCAAAAGTTCAATTAGCTCAACAAAAACTAAGCAACTTGAATGCAGCTGAAAAACCATCAAAGGGAACTGATTTCAGGATGAAGGAGGTATATTTCTACCATCGGGAGTGGGAAAGAATGACATTGTGGTAGGGCCACAGCCCCTCTCTAGGTCCTGAGCACCAGAATGAAGAGCAAAGTATGTTATTCTCCCTCTCTCTTCTCTTTTCACTCAGCTTTCTCCCTCCTTTCTCTCCCTCTTATTCCTTCTTCTACCCCTTCTCCCTCCTCTTAACTCATTTTTACTTTTGCATCCTCATCATATGCTTTTCTTATAGGAGGTGCTTAATAAATGTTTGTTGATCAGTTGCCATCAATGAACCCAATTTATATTTATATTGCTAAACCTGTCACTCACTCCCAGCCACCAGCCAACAAAATTTCTGTACCAGTTAAATTAGACCTAAAAAGAGAAGTAGGAAACAATGAATTTGGAATAAGAGGCCCAGGGTTTGAATCAGAGCTCTGCTCCTCAGTGCTCCTGTGACTTTGTCAAATTATTTCCTCTTTCTGGGCCTCCTTTTCCTTATCTGTGAAAGGAAGGGGTTGGATTAGATGATCTCAAGGGTACCCTCCTGCTCTAAATCTTAGCATCTATTAAGAATAACGTGAGTCTTATTATCTCCGGAGTAGAAGTGAGGAGAAGGAGAAGGGGAGGAAGAAGAGGATGGAGTCGCATAGTACCTTACCTGAAATGTGAAATATTCATCTGCTGGTGCATTCATCATATTACAAATCTGCAGGGAGAAGAAAGTGTCTTCAGAAATAGTGGGACTGACAAATAAATAAGAGGCAGCAAAACTCAGATTAAATACAGCAAATAGCATTAGTGCTATTTCTTTCAAAGTTAAAACACTTTATATTAACATTGGTCAATTACCAACATAGTGACATGCACTAATAGAATCAATATTAAGAGTTTTGCTTAACTGTTTTATGGGTATTTTGTAGGTTTTGTTTGGGTGTTTATCCGATGTGTCAAAACAAAATTTTTAATTAAAATAGTGTCATGAACCATTCACACCTACCCAACTATGTGAAAACTGCAACCAATTAATTTTCTTTCAGAGTACACAGGGGGTCTCATAGACTTCTTTATGGTATCAATTCTTAATGAACCAGAAAGATTTTTCAAATAGCAGCTTATCTATAGCAAATACCCATCAACTTCTTATTGACATTAACATTTATTCTGCTTAATTAAGTCATTTGTTGACATTTAGCAATATCTCTGTTGACTCATACCTCTGCATGCAAACTGATTTATAAGTAATTTGAAACCAAAGCACTTTATTTCCCCTCTCCAAGAAGACAGGGAGGCAGGAGGTGGAGTGTGTGTGTGTTGGGGGCAGGAGTGGAGCAGTGGGGGGGAAGGGATGAAAAGAAACCTTGCTTAGACAGGTGGTTTGTATTAGAGGATGCTAATTTCCAGCAGAGAACGGAATTAGGAAAAGAGGAGGGGAGGGCCAGGCTAGAAAACTAGACAGTTTCCCAGCTTCTTCTGAATTAGGTTTTCACAGTGTGACTTCATTATTTTAAATGTTGTGAATTCTCAGAACATTAGACTTATTTATATTTAAATGTATGCACAAGATGACATCCGTTATCTACTATTTTTGGTTCCCAAATAGCAGATAATGGAGCTGTTACTCAGCTTCCAGTACGTAATTACTTGCAAATTTCCTTTCCTCCTCTCCTCTCTCCAGTCCTACTCATTCCTCTACTCTGGGCTGCCCTCCCCCTTCTCCACCCTGGCTCTCTCCTATTTTCCCCTCCCCTCTTCACCTCTCTTTCCTTCTACTCTACCATGCCCTCCTTTGCTCTCTTCTCCTATCTTCCCCTCTCCCTTCCCTTCCTTCACCTCTCTTCCCTTCTCCTTTGCTTTCAGTTCCCTTCTTCCATCCCCTCCCCTTTCTCTTCTTTTCCTTTCCCTCTTCATTCTTTTCCATTTCTCTCTCCCTTCTCCTATCCTCTTACCCTCTCTACCCCCCCTTCTCTTTCTTTCTTCTCCTTTCCTTCTCCTCCCCTCCTCTCCCTTCTCTTCCTTTTTCTGTCCCCTCCTCTCACTTCTTCCCTTTCTCATTCCTCCCTCCCTTCTTTATTTCCTTCCTTTAATAGCCTATTAAAACTACACTCCAAGCATAGAAAAATTACCACAGAAGAAAAATATCACAAGGTCTAGATTCTAAATAGGTTCACACTGACTGCTTTGTAAATCTCCATGAGTCATTATGAGTCACTGAGACTCTCAGCCCAGGTGGCCAAAACTTGGTGGAGGCTGCCAAAGGTATAGAGAAAATGTTAGGGGAAAAGGAGAAATCGTTCAAGTAAGCACCGCAAAAACACACTTCAGGTGTCGGGCTGTGAAGGGAAGGAGAGAATCCATGGTGACTGAAGGAAGCATCTGACTCTGGTGACCATGTTTTGAAAAGGGACAGACATTGATGTAGATGAATGAGGAGTCAGAAGCTGGGAAGGGAGGAGTCAGCAGGAATAGAGAGGACTATGAGAAAGGCAGACAGATTCAGGGGGCGCTGAATTAGGCAAGATGTTCAGGGATGAGAAGAAACAGCATGTGTCCTCCAAAGGCTAGGCAGTGTGGGATAGCAGACAGGACAGTGAACTGGGGTGTCAGGAGATCTGGGCTCTAGTCCCATCTTTGCCTTCAACTTGTTGAATGACCTTGGACAACTCATTTCATTTCTCTGAGATACTTTTTTTTTGGCATCTTAATGAAACAACAACACAATAGTGTTGGATCATATGGCTTTGAACTTCTGCAATTCTACATTAGCAAGGGAGGGTTATGTTATGATGAGTGAGCCCTGATATTTTTTGGCAGTAGCCAGCACAGATGTGAAGAAGGAGGTATTTAACATGGGAGAAATTGGTACAGATTTCGGGTTTCCTCCAGTGCTCAGAGAATCAAAGAATTTTAGAGCTAGAAGAAAGTGAAGAAGGAAAATGAGCTGTAGAGTGCATGGAACAGATAGTAAATCCAGTAATTCATGAATATTCAGTATGGGAGGGGAAAAGGAATAAAAGAGAAGAGCAAGGAAATTATAGAAGGAGACTATATGAAAGAAGAAAAACCTGAAACTGAATGCTATGTAATTGTGATGACCAATTTTGGCCCCAGAGAAGAATTGAGAAAGTATCTCTTCCCTACCTATCTTTGCAGAGCCAGGGGACTATGAGTGTGAAATAATGCATATGTTATCAGATGTGAATAATGTGGTGGTTTTGTTGAACCATTTTTTATGTATATATATATATATAATATATATATGTATATACATACATACATATACACACACATATATATTTAATATTTGGGATTGCTCATTGGGTAAGGGAGGGGAGAGATCGATTGGAAAATAATGATGTCAGAAAAACGAAAGACATCAATAAAATAGGTTTAAACATTTTTTAAAAGAACAATATAATAAAGAGGCCATTTATAGGACATCACAATGTAATGGAAAGGGTCCTGTTGGAAACTAAAGTCCAAAGACCTAGGACCAGGTTCTAAGCTTGGTTGTGTGACTGACTGGGCATCCCTTTGGCATTCCTCCAATAATATGGAGTTTAGAAGTCTTTAAGTAGCTCTATGACATATATTCCACTTTGGCTCACAGTTAAAAGAAGGGTCTGCCCAAGGCTAATTAATGTGGTTGTATCCTGATGTATTAATTTCAATCTTTTAGCTAACATCATTTGGTATCTACATTTTGATAAATGATAATTGCAGAGAAACTTACAAATCCATGTTCAGCAACGTATGTTGGCAACCCACTAACAAGAGACCAGTGGTCTGCAGGAGGCGTCCTTTAAGTTAAAAAAAAGGAAATTATGAGGCAGATAAATATAAGTTATATGAAATCTGTCAGTACACATGGGATAAAAATCATTTGCCATTCATACAACAATCTCATTCATGAAAGTACTTACTGGATGACTTTGATCTCTTCTTTTCCATGTAGAATATAATCAATAATCTTATAAAAGATAATTTCCTAAATGAAGGGGACAGATTAAGAATGAGTCAGAATGAACAAAGAAGCCTCCTTGGAAGGAACCCATAATTTGAGAAATAGTTTTCATAAGAACACTTTAAAGCAAATAGTCCAGCATCTTCTCTACCAAGCCCATTCCCCAACATACCTTTTCTTCCTGATAGAAACGTCTGCTTCTATGGATTAAGGCTGTAGTAAAACTTAAGAGTAGGTCATTACCTATTTAGCTACACAATAAATCTTTTTTGACTAAATTTAGTTGTTTAAAAAAACCAGTTGAATTTTGGTCAATTTCTTGTGGGATTTTTTTTTTGCAGGGGAATAGGGAAGAAGTGACTATAAGTTCTTCCATCATATTACCAGATTCAATTCTCCTCCCAAATGTTTAACTGCTTGCTTTTGGTAATGTAGAAATAGCCTAATAGGGATTTAAACCTGGTCTCAAGAAATCATATCTAGGTCAATTTTCAGTGGGAGTTTTATTTTCCCGTCTGTATTTTTCCATCTATAAAAATACAGACTATGTCTTGACTAAACGAATGAATGAAAAGGCATTTATTAAACGCTATGGGCCAAGCACTGTGCTAAGTACTGGGTATAAATAAAAGGATCCCTCAAGGAGTTTACATTTTAATAGTGGGAGACAGTACATATAGGGGAGAGGTGTTCCAGGCAGGGGCACTTTGGTCTTGAAATTTACAGGGATGGTGATTTGGGTCATGGAGGGGGAGGCATAGATTGGCATAACCTTTCCAGGAACAATGGCAAAGATGAATGAATCATGGTTCCCTTGGTGTGGAACTCAAGTTTCTCCAGTGCTTCAAGAACCATAGAATATTTTAGAGTTAGAGGAAGGTGAGGAAGGAAGTTGAAGATGAACCTTTAATGGCTGTTGAACTGAACTGGGAGCGAGGGAAGTTTTTAAAGGCTACCTGAAATTATAAAGTGGTTATTCAGGTTGAAAAAGAAGATGACTGGGGAGTAGAGAGTGAAGCCAAGCGTGGCTGGTACCTTCCTGAAGTAATAAATCAAAAGTAGAAGTTCCAGTCAGGACAGTGGGCCCCAGGATATATATCTTCCCCAGAATCTATCACAGGGTTTTACACATAGTTTGTTTTGTGGGATATATGTATGTATGTGTGTATGGATGGATGGATGGATGGATGGATGGATGAATGACTCTCCCAGTCTATGTTTATGCAGAGCCTCCTCCCCAAAATGTAACTAAGACCCAGGATTTTCTTCCATTCAGTACAATGTGGAGTGAGCCAAGGAAAGCCTTTCTTTGAACTTACTCTGCCATCTGGTGTCTTCGGACCTTTGTAAGGCTGTACTTCTCCAAGCTTGATTGGCCATTCATCATAGAACTCCTACAGACAATTAGGTGCAAATGTTATTCGACAAAATAGTTCACAAATCAATCCACTCTAGATAGACTTTGTGTGGTTGTTTAGTTGAGTGTATTTCACGGTATTTCTTATTCATAGACACAGAATTGTGTAGATTACTTTAGAGGTCATATAGTACAACACTTTCACCTTACAGATGAAGAAACAGGAAAAGAGAGGTTGAATGAATTTCTCAGGGTCACACAACTAGCTAATTAGCAGAACTAGGATTAGAATTCAGGGTCCTGTTCTTTCTATACCACCATACCTCTTTGCTTACATCACTTCAAGTCTCAAGGGCATTAAGAAAAAAAAAAGATTGGTTATTAGTAGTATAATGAATGAAAACCCCTGAGAAACAGAGTTTCCAGCTAATTAATAATCAATTTATTAATGAGGCCAGTAATCAATAAATTTATAGTCAGTGGTTTCTCTCAGTAACCAAAGACCCAAAGGGACACTCAGAATTAACTTCAATCCCTTCTGAAAGGGAATTCTCCTGACAAGCAGAACTCAACCCTGATTGGTAGACATTTAATAAGGAGGTGGGCTAGAAGTCTTCAGCTCCTTCTGCTGAGAAAGTGGCTTGATCTTGAGAGTCGGCAGACATAAGACATCTAGGCTGGGGAAGCCATTTCCATCCAGATCTCTAGCTAGCTTTCGCTTTCATGATCTGGGTTGCCCTAAACTCTAATGGAGGGGATCAAGGACAGGGGGTTCTTCCCCCAGGCAAAGGATTGCCCAGACTGGATTCTGTTTATACTCTAAATAGAAATTAGGTTTCCAGTTGGGTGGGGTTGGGCCCAACCTAGGTAATGAGCATGTACCTTGGGTTTTAGCAGCAATCTCATCACTCAGCCATGTCTTTCAGAGACTGACTGACCTTTTCAGGAGTTGGGCCTTAACAGAAAAAAGCAAGGGAAAGGGTGGATCACAAATTAATAATTAGTTATTAATATAATAGTATAATATTAATTTCTCTCAGTAGACATGGGATTTAATTACTATAGATTACAAAAGTGGTAAAGGCCCTCATAGATCGTATTTTTAATTTTTTTATCACAAAGTTAAAAGATGTAATTTCATCCGAGACAAGTACTTGCAATCTATTTTTAGTTAGTTATTTAAATAGTTCAGGTGAATCATTAAGCTAATTGCATTTTTTGTGACAAGTGTGTGATTCACAGGAGACTGTAGTTGGAAAATAAAATCAATGGAACGATGAAGACCTTTTCTTTGGTCATGTCCAGTAGGCCGATGGAGTATCTTTCACAATTCAAATAGGCTTTAATGGTATATAGGGCTTTGTGAAATTGTCGCTCAATATCTGTAAGTTCTTCAAATACTTTGTTGGCTGACCATAAAAGGACCTGTGAATAGTTGTAGGGAAAAGAAAGAGTGAAATATATAGTCTTTAGATAAAACATTAGAATATTCACATCAGGCAAAACAAATATTATTTATGCTAATATTTTATGAATGTATTTTCAACAGCTCCTAATGTACCCAATTCTCCCTCAAGCAGGAGCAAGAATAGATAAGAGTTGAAAGGTTAAGGCAGGGTGCGCTAATAAGCTAGCAAGTGTCTGAGGCCAGATTTGAACTCATGTCTTCCTGACTCCAGACCTGGTGCTTTATACATTGTGCCACTAAGCCATGCATACCCCATCCCCTCCTCCCTAAAGGAAGTAGTGAGTACAAATAATCATCATGATTTCATAAAATATAGGTCACACCAGACTAACCTGGCTTGCTTTTTTTTTTACAAGGTACCTAGAACAGGTAGATCAGAAGAATGTTGTAGGTATAAGCTTACCTACATGTTAGCAAAGCATTTGACAAAGTCTCTCATGCTATTCTTATGGAAAATATGGAGAACGGTGGAAAAGATGATAGTACAATTAGGAAGATTCAGAACCAGTTGAATGAATGAACTCAAAGAATAGTTATTAATGGTTGGATATCAGCTCGGGAAGAGGTCTCTAGTAGATGGTAGAAATCTGTGCTTGCTTGTGCACAATTTACCATTTTTATTCATGATTTGGATTAAGACATAAATGGTGTTTATCAAATTTGTGCATGACACAGAGCTGAGAGAGCTAGCTAATATACTGAACAACTAAGTTGACACCAAAAAAGACTTTGACAGGATTGAGCATTGGGTTGACTCTAATAAAGATTTATAATAGGGATCAACGTAAAATTTTATACCTGGGTTCAAAAAATCAATTTCCCAAGCACACAAAGAAGGAGGAAATCTAAATAGCAGTTTGAAAAAGATCTCAGAATTTTAGTGGAGGACTGCAAGTTTAATATGAGTCAATAGTATTATATGGGCAACCAAAAAAGCTGGTGCAGACTTAGAATGCATTAAGAGAGACAAAGTGTTTAGGGCTGGGAGATAATAATAATATTGATAATAGTATCTAACATTTATATAGTGCTTCAAGGTTTGTAAAGCAATTTCCCTATATTATTTCATTTGATAACAGACCTACTATACTCCACCCAGGTCAGATAATAGCTGGAGCATTGTGTTTGGTTCTGGATATCAAATTCCAGAAAGGCTGTAAGTTTGTTTTGTTTTTTAAAAAATACGTATTTATTAAGCAGCTGCTTCATTCCAGGTACTTTGTTAAATGATGGGTATTCAAAGGCAAAAACAAAACAGTCCCTGCCCTCAAGAAACTTACATCCTGTTGGGAGAGAAAACATAGGCATGCAAAAATATATACAAAGGACATACAAAATAAACCCGAGGTCATTTTGAGGGAGGGGAGGGACCGTAGTTACCAGGGGAACAAGAAAGGTCTCATGTAAGAGGTAGCATTTGAGTTGAGCTTTGAAGGAAACTAGGCATTTTAAGAGATAAACAAAAGAAGGATGGGCATTCCAAGGATGGCGAACAGCTCAGAGCAATCATGACAGGCTTTGGTGACTTCCTTCTGCCTTGATGAGCCTTCAATGTGTGCTCACATAAACACACACACTCACTATCGTGCACTGACTCTGAATTCCCTCATGCCCTCCTCTCCTTTCTCTTTTTTCAGTTGAAGACAACTTTAGGCTCAGAATTGTGCCTATCAAGTCTGTCTGGATTTTGTCATCATAGTCCCCAGAACTAGAATCATTCTAAGGAGATAGCGCAGAACCTAGCACACACTCAATCACAGGTTTGAAGCACCAGCAGAGGAAGTCAGTTATAGTGCCCAGCATCTATACTCTCCCGTTTCTCTGTATACACCCAGTGCTTAGTACAGTGCCTAGTACATAGTAGGCACTTAAAAATATTTATTGACTGATTATACTCAACAACTTCTCCTTCAACCCAAAAAACCAAGAAGCTAGACTTCAGACCACTAGTCAAGCCATAATCAATAGTACCAAGTCTGGGACAGGCAGTAGAGAGACTGCACAGCTAAATGTTCTCTACATAGGAGCAGACCTGTCTCAGGGATCTTAGCCCTAATACCCATGCTTAATGAGACACGGCAAATTTGGGAGCATTGTCCCTTGTGTGCCTTCCTTAGAATTGTTAACAAAAGAGTAGATTGGTGACTGGTTTCATTAGTTTTTTTACCTGAACTTTTCGAGATTCAATATTGTAGAGGTATGCCATGTGGTGCTGCCTTAGAACAAAAGAAACAAAACTGAGGTATTTGGAAAAAACCTACAAATAAAAAAAAAGAAAAAAAGTAAGTAGCCATTAAATTCATCTTTTTTCTTGGGAGGGGAGGGGAAGTAGTCCACATGTGGGGAATATAGGTCCAATATAGGGAACTCCCTGCATGGAAACTTCCTTCACTGATGCAGATAGACCATTTATTCATTCATTTCTAACTCTTTGTGACCCCATTTGGGGTTTTCTTGGCAGAGATGCTGGAGTGGTTTGTCATTTGCTTCTTCAGATCATTTTATAGACGAGGCAACTACAGCAAATATGGTTAAGTGACCTGCCCAGGGTCATAAGGCTAGTAAGTGTCTGAGGCCAGATTTTAACTCATGAAGGTGAGTCCACTGCACCACCCAGCTTCCCTACATAGACCACTAATCTTTTTTCCTTTTTTTGAATAATATTTTGTTTTTTCTTCCTTACATGTAAAGACAATTTTTAACATTCATTTTTAAAAATTTTGAGTTCCAAATTCTCTTCCACCCTCCCTTCTGTCACTGTTTGCTGTTACTGTGTACAATGTTGTCCTGGTTCTGCTCACTTCACTTTGCATCAGTTCATGTTAAGTCATTGCAGGTTTTTCTGAAATCTTCCTGCTCATCATTTCTTATAGCAGAACAGTATTCCATTATAGTCATATACCACAACTTGTTCAGCCATTCCCCAATTGATGGGCATCCCCTCAATTTCTAATTCTTTGCCAACACAAAAAGAGCTGCTATAAATATTTTTGTGCATGTAGGTCCTTTTCCCTTTTTTAAAATCTCTTTGGGAAACAGACCTAGTAGAGTGGTATTGCTGGATCAAACGGTATGCACAGCTTGACAGTCTTTTGGGCATAGTAGACCACTAGTTATCTGTAACTTCTAGGCTTAGAGCTGCCTAGGGTTGTGAGAAAAGAAGAGTCTTGCCCATAAATATGTGGCGAAGGCAGAACTCAAACCCAGGTCTTGCCAAGACTGGTCCCACAGGCTGCCTTTCATCTTGAAACAAAAAGAAGCAAATGAGAATAAAATCTCATTTTAAATTCCTTTCCATTAAAAATGGAATTTGTACCTGCTTCTTGTCCCCATGCCCACCATTACCTCTTCATCCTGCTTCGTAAATTCGGGCTCGTTGACTTTATTCACAGCCATCATGACAGCGAGGACTTCCTTACCCATCGTGATAGGCATTGCCAGCATATTCTTAGTGGTATAACCAGTTTGCTTATCCAGAAAGTCAGAAAAATGGCTGTTCTGAAATAAAATAAATATTCATTCATTTATTAAAGTTGTTCAGGCAGACCAATCCCTGACCTAAGGGCGTTAATTCATTCTGTGAAAACTTGACATTAGGTATTATCTAATAGTAGTGGGGTGTGTGAGCTAACTTGTCAGTCTCTCTCACTCACCTGCTTCCGCAGCCCTTGATGAAGGGGAGCTACTCTTCCTTTGGGTAAGATTTTTTTTCAACCACTCACTCTCTTAACCTCTCCTCTTTTGGAAGAATGGTTTTCCTGTTCAATTAGGTTGTGAGAAACAATGGGAAGGAAAATAGGGAGGCCTCACCTACAATACCTGCCAACCTGGTCAGAGCCTCCCTTCTCCCTCCCCCTCTCTCTCAGCTACTGCTGACTCATTTATTCATTGCCTAGAGACATCCTGATACAAGTTTCTCTTTCTAACCTGGGGAGTTAAAAAAAATTAATTTCTTTTTTCAGCTCTGAGCCCTCACTCGTTGGGTTACTGACTTTTTTTTTTCAAACTGCAAAAAACTGCAGTTTTTAAGTAATTTTTCCTTGCAGATACCCCCTAATTTCTTCTCTCTAATTCAATTCAGCAATGACACACATAGATTAGCAGGCTCCCACTTGCTCCTCCCCCCCAGGAAGGCATGAGAGGAGCCAAAGAAACGTAAAGGGAAAAGGGAAATGAAGAATAACCACCTTAGAGTCTGGTGGTGGAGTTAGTCAGCAATACAGCCTCTGTTCCTACATGCCGCATGTAACATCCATCCACTCAGCCCAGGCCTGGAGTCTGGTACTAATGGTCTCATACCTCAGCCTCCCACTTTCATAGGTAGTTCATGGGGCTTCTCTGGCTCCTCTTCTTTCTCTGCCCCAGCCTCACGTTTACCGGCTTCTCTGATTTCCTTGCCCATAATCACTCAGAGTGGAAGGAACTAGTATATTGGCCAAAGTTTAGCCTTATCAGTCATAAGGTCAGGGACAAATTCCTCGGAGGATCAAAGTGGGTAATTTTTGCTGGAGAAGACCACCATCATTCTGATCTCCTTGGCAACCAGACAGTGCCACAAGTAAAAACATATTATAAAAGGAGTGCTGGGGAGTAATTCCACAGGAGCAATTTTCTAAATGGGTTATTGGCTGAATGACTTTAGAGTGAGATTTTGCAGCATTATTGGTGGGGTTCTAAAGAAAGGGAGATAAAGGGGCTGGTCAGGTGGTGAGCATGAGGGATAACTGATAGATAGCATCTGTGCTCCGTTGATATTCTCTCAAGGAAGGGTTCCGGTATGTTTCATGGCTCTCTGTGATGAAATTATGGGAAGAGATGGACAAAAGTCTCATGGAATAAATGAACATGACAGGTTGTGATCTGCATGGTGGGGTTAGGTTATAATCAAGGATGTGATGAGGCTCCAATGAGATGTAAAGTGCTTTGCAAGCCTCAAAACTCTATATAAATGCCAGTTATTATTATTATTATTATTATCATCATTATCATTATTCTCCAGTCACTAGGCCTCCAGTCTGGTGACAACTTTATTCCCTGAACCTTCTAACACACTCAAGTAATGTTTATACAGCAATAGAGAAGTGTGCTGGAAAAAGTTTAACAACCAGGTTCTTTGAAATATACATACATGCATACACATACACTTTTAAGTTTAATTTGCATTATTAATACTTTATTAAGTTTAGAAATCAACAAAACAATAAATTAAGCCCTGATTTATAGTGCATGGGATTTCTGAGTTGTAAATGCTCACAATGAAAATTTAACAATAAGCTTTCATGAGCTAGTTAGAGCTGGCTCCAGTATGGCCCTGGTTATAATGCATTTTCAGGGAAATATTATATAGAGTAATAATAATAACTGACACTTCTCTAGTACTGGAAGGTTTGCAAAGATCCTCATTGGATTTTATGTCCTTTATTGGACATTATTTCATTTGATTCTCAGCAACAATCCTTTGATGTAGGTGCTATTATTATCCCCATTTTATGGATGGATCTGAGGGAGTGCCCAGGATCATACAGCTGATAAGAATCAGAGCTAGATTTTTTAATCCAGAGCAGTGATGTCAAATCTAACCAGGCTGCCTATATGTAATACTAGCACCCACTTGGATTGCTGTGAGCACAGGTCACATTCTACGTAGCCATTTTTCACAGGCCTAAAAGTTTCTGCAGAACTAATAATTCTCAGTTTCAGAAAGGTTTAAATTGAAGCCATTCAAGATAATTCTCTAGGAAAAGGGAGAGAAAAACCTGTAGGAGAAGCCCACTCGAGGACCCTGTCCATGTTACCAAGAAGATTCCCTTTTTTCCATCCTCTATTTGTCCTGTGCCCTTGTTTTGTGTTCATTGGAGATGGAGTTGATGTAGCTCTGGGCTAGAAATCTGCCATAATTCATGCTAAGATCTTTGGCCTTTCTGGTCCCCAAAGAATAACAATAATGTAATAAAATTGTGAGACATCATTAGCAAATAGTTTTGAGGTCAGAGCTATTGTTAATATAGGGGAAAGAGACCAGACCTGTAATTTCATTGGTAGGGGAAACACCTGAGTAAGGAGACTTTCTCTACAGACATAACTCATCTTACTGCACTTTGCAGATATTGGGGGTTTTTTGTTTTGTTTTGCAAATTTAAGGTTGAGTAAGTCTATTGCCACCATTTTTCCATGTGTTCATACATGTGTTCACATCATGTCTCTGTGTCACCTTTTGGTAATTCTCACAATATTTCAAACTTCTTCATTATTATTATATTTACTATGGTGAGCTATGATCAATGATCTTTGATGCTATTATAATTGTTTCAGGGTACCATGAATTGTGCCCATATTAGATGGTAAACTTAATCGATATATGATGTATGTGCGTTCTGACTGCTCCACTGGTTGGCTGTTCCTCATCTCTCTCCCTCTCCTGGGGCCTCCCTATTCCCTGAGACATAACAATGTTGAAATTAGGCCAATTGAAAACCTGACAATGGCCTGTAAATATTCAAGTGAAAGGAAGCATCAATCGATGCAGCAAGCTTCATTGTTGTCTTATTTTAAATTGCCACAGCCCCCCCAACCTTCAGCAACCACCACCCTGATCAGTCGGTAGCCATTCACATTGAGGTAAGACCCTCCACCAGCAAAAAGATTACAACTCGCTGAAGACTCAGATGAGGGTTAACATTTTTTGGCAATAATGTATTTTTAATTAAGGCATGTACGCTGGCTTTTTTAGGCATAATACTATCGCACAATTAATAAACTAGGGTATAGTGTAAACATAACTTTTATGTGTAATGGAAAACCAAAAAATTTATGTGACTCACTCTGTCGAAACATTGTGGTGGTCTGGAACAAAGCCTGCAATATCTCTGAGGTATATCTGTACTTAGAAACAGGTTGCTATCTTTTCTGCAAATTATGATCTTAGCCCAATATAAAAACAGGTGAGGGGGCTGCCTCAGCAGGAACTGTTTGAGGTCCCTTCCAGCTGTGAAACTGATGATTCCCCATAGCAACCATGGGATAGGTGGCATAAATAGTATTATCTTCCTTTTACAGATGAGGAAATCGAGATTCTCAGAAGTAGAGAGATTTGTGGTCAAGAGGCAGAGTTAGAAATGATGCCAGGATTCTGACTCCAAGTCATTCATTCCCTATCATATTGCTTCTCACCATGTACTGTGTTTCCTCTCTGTTGTGCCGCCACGTTGTTGTTCCACACATCATATAATCCTCAGATGTTAAAACAACACTTCTTTTTTAACAGTGGAAATTTGAAAAGAATAAGATATAGAAGCCCTGTAATAGGAATTGTATTGGGGGTAAGGGAGGGTGGGGAACAGGAATAATGTCTACCATTAGGCTAACCATGGTTATTAATTTCATTACATGTACTATTATTCTTGAGAGGCAGAATGGCACAGTGGACAGTAGCAGAGCTGGCCTCTGACTCAGAAAGACCTGGATTCTAGTCCTGCTCCTGGTATCTACTGGCAGTCTTTCTCCAGTCAAGTCACTTAACTGCTGATTGCCCCTGTGCAACTTGGTAAAACTAGCATAAAACACAGAACAGTTGCCAATCTGAATCGGTAGAGGGAGTTTCCTCATTGGAAGCTCCTTATGCCAATGAAAAAACAGATCTGGTCCAAGTTATTATGTTTGGAGAGATACGGTTTGATACATAACATAGGCACTGTCCTCTGACTACGAGGGGAACTTGCAGTACTCCGGAGCCCTGGGTTGATGGGCATTTTATAGCATGTAGACAAACCTTTTGATTATTTTTGTTAATGAGGGACGAGGATAACATGAACCCATGAAATCTATAGAGTATTTTTCAATAGCTTCCACTTTCTTCCTCACTGTGCCTTTAGAGCAAAATAGATTGATGAGAATTTCATATCCTCTTCCTGTACCTGCTCACCCCCTAGTGGAAGTGCTAATAAGCAATAAAATAATTAAAAGGTAGACAGCTGATGAATGGAGTCGTGATCCCCAGCCCAGAAGCCCTCTTCTTCCACCAGCAGAGGGGGATGGGCTTTCAGAAATCTGCGTATGTATTTCTTTGGCATCCTTCTCTAGAGTAAGGGGTGTGGCAAGGCAGTTCATGAGGTCTGTATTAAAATTAACTATGTGTTACTTTATAAGTTTCATGGTAGTTTTTACAGCAGTGCAGTGGATAGAGGGCCAGTCTTGCAATTGGGAAGGCTGGCATTCGGGTCTTACCTTTGACCCAGACTAGCTAACTTCTCAGTTTCCCATGCAATTCTCTAATATTATTAATTGCATAGTTACTAGTCTGCCTTGGCATTGGCTAATCTACATCAGTCATTCCCTATACTGATGAAATCACAGGCCTGGACCCTGGCCCACTTCCCCAAAAAGTCATCTACCTGTGCTAATGTTGACAAGCCAACGGGACCTCGGTTTCCTAGTCTGTTGATTGAGAGGGCTTGGACTAAGTCGTCTGTGGGATCCTTTTCACTCTAAGGTTCCAATGATTTTGTGATTCGTCTTCCTTCTAGGCCCAGTAATACGCTAACACAGGCACACACTTCAATCAACCCCATTTAGAATCCTGGGGGGAGAACAAGGGGGGAGGGGCGCCACTTCTGAGTCTCAGTTTCCTTGTCTGTCAAGAGGGAGTTAGAACCAATACAAAGGTCCCTCCCAGCATGGATTGGTTCTATGTCTATGGTTCTATGTCATTCTCTGCAACACCCGCTGCTCTTCTGCTGT